CGTTCCATTATTACCGGAAAGTCATCAGAAGAAATCCGAACATTTGAAGCTCCTTCCTAAAAGTAATTTTCTTTCCACTCATTTTTGCTTGTTTACATATTTCATGTGGCCATTCCACAAAATATTACGTAACAAGAATTGCATTACATCACTGCCCTAAGATTCTCTTCACTATTAACTGTCTAACCTCTCTGCAGTGGTAATACGTGCCTGAGGATTGATCTCTTTATTTATCCATGGTTTACTCGCGTATCTCCCTGTGTTAGCTACAATGTTCAGACAATAAGAGCTCGTCATATGCATACCTTTTTCTTGCTTGGTTAAATCCATGTCTTGCGTTTTTGGGATAGGGAGATTTACGTTCTACACTGATGAGAAACCTGTTGTGGACGTCTGATAATTCAGGACATAAATTGAGATAATCAGTTATCTCATTGATGTACACTCAGCATTAAAAGCTTTATTCTCAAATTTATTCCATTCGCGAGCTAGAGTAATGGGTCAAGTGTTTCTACACTGAACGATAACCAAAAAAATATGACCAGAACTTAATTTCTAGTCTTCCTTTTTGCATCTCCATTTCTTTTATCCTTCACGACTTTCCTTAATCTCGACTTCTTTCAGCACTTTCCCGTCTTCCTTTCCGTGGCAGGCGCGGAACTTTCATGATCTCTGTGACTTTTTTGAAGCTCGTGTGATGCTTTTTTAAAATAAGATTTTGTACAATTTTATTATGGGCTAAAGTTTTTCTTTTGCTTTTTTTCTGGATCATGATATTATTTCTGTACTTGAGGCTTTTAGGTATTCATAATTTGAAATGCAATTTCCTATTCATAATAATGATAATAACAATAATAATACAGAAATGACGATAATAATTATAATAATATTAATAATAATATTGACAACAACAAGAATAAGAAGAATAACAGCAATGACAACAACAAAGTATACTTTTGGAGTTCATTCCTCTTTACTCATTACGTCTTGTTTACACGAGCTGTTATGTAAGATCATAATTAACTTAATCTAATCCGTAAACAAGTTACTTACGTAAACTTTTCTTTTGGTTAAGTAAGTTGCGATAAACTAAGAATCGTGCTTCAAGCTAAAGGTGGATGCAAATTGGAAGTAAGACTCTGCTCAATCTGTATATCATGTATATATATATATATATATATATATATATATATATATATATATATATATATATATATATATATATATATATATATATATATATATATACATATCATATGTGTATATATATATATATATATATATATATATATATATATATATATATATATATATATATATATATATATATATATATATATATATATATATATATATATATATATGTATATATGATACTGCTGCGATAGCTCAGTGGTTAGAGCACTGGTCTCCGACCCTCGTGGTCCCGGGTTCGATTCCCCGTCGCGGCATTTGTAAAAAATGCCTACGCTCTGACTGCTGACTCGAGCCCGAGAAAATGGCATATCGGCTTGAAAAGTCAAGCGCAGGTGTCGTAGGGGAATTCACCGCCGTGGCATAAGTGTTAACGCGCCGAACCGCAGTTGATTAGGAACGACATTCAATCAGGCAAAGGTGACACCGCCATATAACCTCTCAATGCTGAATTGAGAGGTTATATGTCCTGCAGTGGAATGAATGGCTGTTGAAAAAAAAAAAAAAAAAAAAAAAAAAAAATATATATATATATATATATATATATATATATATATATATATATATATATATATAACATGCAGTCTAGAGTGCACTTTGCCCGATCATACTTTCCTTTTCTATGTACTGCAAGGGTTAGATACCTGTAACTATACGTCATTATCGTGTGTATATATATATCATATATATATATATATATATATATATATATATATATATATATATATATATATACATATACATATATATATATATATATATATATATATATATATATATATATATATATATATACATATGATATATATATACATATATATATATATATATATATATATATATATATATATATATATATATATACACATATATACATATATATGCATATATATATATATATATATATATATATATATATATATATATATATATATATATATACATATATATACATATATATGCATATATATATATATATATATATATATATATATATATATATATATATATATATATATATATATATGTATATATATATCATATGTATATATATATATATATATATATATATATATATATATATATATATATATATATATATATATACATATATATATATGACTGCCGCGATAGCTCAGTGGTTAGAGCACTGGGTTCAATTCCCCGTCGCGGCAGTCGCAAAAATGCCTGAGCTCTGACTGCTTTTTCGAGCCCGAGAAAACGACATGTTGCCTTGAGAAGCCAAGCGCAGGTGTCGTAGGGGACGTCACCGCCGTGGCACAAGTGGTAACGCGTCGAACCGCGGGTGATTAGGAAGGGCATTCAATCAGGCAAGGGTGACACTGCCATATAACCTCTCAATACTGAATTGAGAGAGGCCTATGTCCTGCAGTGGAATGAATGGTTGTTAAATATATATATATAT